CGTGGTACGACGCCTTAATGTCATATCTCTATGCTTGCACACATAACACATATGTAGGAAACAAGAAATGCGCCCAGAGTTCTGTTTTGTAAGGCAGAGAAGCACAGGCCTGCACTGGAGGACGTGCCTTCTTCGTGCACTTCATGTCTCTTTCCTTGAGTTCTTTGTTACTTAGATTTTGCATCCATTATTTTTATTTTATTTTCTCATACGTAGTATAAACCCCGCATTCGCATGGTGGGACTGAGGAAAACCATGCTCAACCTATGTCAGTATAGTCTATCTCAGTCGAGATTCGACCCGAATGCCTCCGAATAGAAAAGTTGCACCACTTGAGTTAGCTCACCTGATATTAAGGGAGAGATACACACAGGCTTGATCCATCAGTTAGTTCACCTGATACTAAGGGAGAGAGACACAGGCTTATCCATCAGTTAGTTCACCTGATACTAAGGGAGAGAGACACAGGCTTATCCATCAGTTAGTTCACCTGATACTAAGGGAGAGAGACACAGGCTTATCCATCAGTTAGTTCACCTGATACTAAGGGAGAGAGACACAGGCTTATCCATCAGTTAGTTCACCTGATACTAAGGGAGAGAGACACAGGCTTATCCATCAGTTAGTTCACCTGATACTAAGGGAGAGAGACACAGGCTTATCCATCAGTTAGTTCACCTGATACTAAGGGAGAGAGACACAGGCTTATCCATCAGTTAGTTCACCTGATACTAAGGGAGAGAGACACAGGCTTATCCATCAGTTAGTTCACCTGATACTAAGGGAGAGAGACACAGGCTTATCCATCAGTTAGTTCACCTGATACTAAGGGAGAGAGACACAGGCTTATCCATCAGTTAGTTCACCTGATACTAAGGGAGAGAGACACAGGCTTATCCATCAGTTAGTTCACCTGATACTAAGGGAGAGAGACACAGGCTTATCCATCAGTTAGTTCACCTGATACTAAGGGAGAGAGACACAGGCTTATCCATCAGTTAGTTCACCTGATACTAAGGGAGAGAGACACAGGCTTATCCATCAGTTAGTTCACCTGATACTAAGGGAGAGAGACACAGGCTTATCCATCAGTTAGTTCACCTGATACTAAGGGAGAGAGACACAGGCTTATCCATCAGTTAGTTCACCTGATACTAAGGGAGAGAGACACAGGCTTATCCATCAGTTAGTTCACCTGATACTAAGGGAGAGAGACACAGGCTTATCCATCAGTTAGTTCACCTGATACTAAGGGAGAGAGACACAGGCTTATCCATCAGTTAGTTCACCTGATACTAAGGGAGAGAGACACAGGCTTATCCATCAGTTAGTTCACCTGATACTAAGGGAGAGAGACACAGGCTTATCCATCAGTTAGTTCACCTGATACTAAGGGAGAGAGACACAGGCTTATCCATCAGTTAGTTCACCTGATACTAAGGGAGAGAGACACAGGCTTATCCATCAGTTAGTTCACCTGATACTAAGGGAGAGAGACACAGGCTTATCCATCAGCTAGTTCACCTGATACTAAGGGAGAGACACACAGGCTTGATGCCGTGTATCTAATCTTCTCGTATGCTTTAAGTTTCGAAGAATTTTCGTGCGTGCTTGTAGCTTTGCAGTTCCTGAACGTTGACTTCAGACATTGCCTTGCAAATAGCATGAAACAGGCGGGGCTAGCGATCAGAGACATCCAGTATTAAATTTCATGAAAATCAGTCCACGTTTTCTTGAGCTATAATAAAAGTCCTCCGATTAATTATCTGGTAAATCTTAATACTTCCTTTAAAGGCTTATTGCACATAAAGTATGCGTTTTTAGACTTCTGTTCTGATGTGTATCCAAAGCGTTAGATTGACATCCTAGCTTAAACGCATGCAATATGTTCATAAATGTTAGCAAAACTTGCCAATATCGCAGTTCCCTTCTGCAGGTCTCGAGCTGTTACACGCGGACAGACACGGCCAAGGAATTTTCTTAAACTTTGTTGCACACTTCTCAGAAGTCAGATGCGCCTGTATGTGCGGCTTCCCGTGAATGTATGGCTAACGTCTGTTCATCGAGAGGACAGTGGAAATTATGGCGATAACTCCAAGTGGATATTTACTGTGGACATTATAATCTTTGCGCAGATATATTGCGCACACTCGCGGATTCCCTCCGTGTTTATTCATTTGTAGACTATGAGGGTCTAGGGGACCTAGTAAGTTGTGTCCCTGTGCTTGATTGATTAACCCTTTAAACCATGGTGGTTACCATGTGTACCACCCACTTTAATATAATAAAACTCAGGTTTCTGCCCACAGAGTGTATCTGTGCGTTCCGTATGTTTCTCACAATAAACAGCGACTGTTTCCCTAAACAGCATTAACCGGTTGGGCTTTGTAGCGGAGATGCAATGTGTTTCCTGTGGTGTACGGACTGAGTTTTCTGCCCACAGAGTGTATTTGTATGTTCCATATGGTTCTCACAATAAACAGCGACAGTTTTCCTAAACAGCATTAACCGGCTGGGCTTTGTAGCGGAGACGTAATATGTTTGCTGTGATGTAGAGTGCAACGTGTGCATACGTGTGCGGTGCATACAGTAACCAGTCCGTACCTCACAGGAAACTCATTACGTCTCCGCTACAAAGCCCAACCGGTTAATGCCGTTTAAGGAAACAGTCGCTGTTTATTGTGAGAACCATACGGAACACACAAATACACTCTGTGGGCAGAAAACTCAGTCCGTGCCTCACGGGAAACACATTACATCTCTGCTACAAAGCCCAACCGGTTAATGCCGTTTAAGGAAACAGTCGCTGTTTATTGTGAGAACCATACGGAACACACAAATATATTCTGTGGGCTGAATACAGACTTTGTTGGGTTAAAGCACTAGCCGCTTAGCATGAAAGAGTTAAGCCGCATATACATAAGGGCAGGTGGTTTCTCTAGGGTAGGCCACAGATTTCTGCACTTCTTGTGGGATCAATCGTAAGTCGAAGTCCAGTGTTTCTCACGTCTGGGGCCTAATTTCCTTGATTAAACTGCAAACGGGAGCAGCTCAGCCACGGCAAACACTCTTTACACTTCCATTTCGCGGCTGTGCCTTCGTATTGCCTGGACAGGAAAGGGGTAAGTAATATATGGAAGAGAAAGGAAAGAATAAAGACAGATACGGAATGAGACACTACATATGCATGGTTTAGTTAACGACGTTGTCAGCTACTAGACCATAAACTTCGACTGGATGGATATGAAGAAATTTCGAAGAAAGAGCTCGTGGCCTTGTTGAAGTATTATCCTAGTATTCTGCTTTACGGACTGAGGAAGTTCACTAAAAGTCTCAGTCAGTATAGCTGGGGTCCCGGCCGGCATTCGAACAGAGGGCCTCCAGAATACAAGCTTAGGTACCGCTGCACCAACCCTTTCGGTGAAGGAAGTGGTAGAAAACAGAAAGAAGGTATGAACTTGAAGAAACAAAGAAATTACGCCTCGAAGAATATAAATAACGAAGCGAAGTATCATCGGAACGATTAAAATAAGGGTCTGAATGCAGAAAGAAGAGAAAAGAAGAAATGGAAGAGAGAAGAAAGCAACAGGCAACTCGAGGCAGACTTACGGTACCGTTGCAAAGATATTGCTCATGTTTTACCGTATACTATTGAGCTTGATTACGTTACGTGGAAACGAAATCGATTGTTACTCAGAGGGCCATTGTTGGTCGCTGATCATTCGAGCTAAGACGCGTGCGCGTTGCGTAAAAATTTGAACCCAAAGTGCGCATACCGTTGCTTTGCTGCAGATACTGCCTTCCTATAAGGAGGAAGGAACAAGCGTGAAAGCAGGTGGCAAGCTCTGGCTTATTAGTCGAGCGTGACGATGACGGCCACACGTTGCTTCGAAACGTCGGTTGTCTTTCAGCGAAATACACGGCTTTTTATCCCAAAAGAATTAGAAGCCAACAGTTCAACTAAGCCGAATTCCCATATCCTAGCTTACTTATTATAATTTTTTTTTAAATTAGGTAATTAGTATCCTTGAGGCCCCCATGGGACAAATGCCCCTGATTTACCCCTCTGTATGGGCCTGCATACGTACAAATGTACAGGCGGCATCACAGAATCATTTTTGCCTAATCGGGGGATGAAAACTTTTAAATCCATGAAAATCTCAAAACTGTTTTTCGCCATGACAGTAGTCTGGCATCTGCAGGCTACTGCGTCCCCGAGAGAGGAAAATCGGGGCAGCGCGTCATGAAGGCGTATAAGGGGCATTGATGGTAACGTATTTTTAGCCTCGGCATTAGACAGAGACAAGTACTTCACTCTTCGTCTGCTGTACCCCCGGACCCCACAGCAGTCTAATTGTGACAGCGAATCGAAAAACCCGTGCCCCTAGGCCGAACAGAATTGCAGAGACTGCATCAATTGAAATCCACAGCGACAAGAAGCGCCGTAGTGAGTCAGTAACGTGATAAGAGTGTGGGGTGGACGACCGGAATTCGATTCCAAGCACAGACAAGTTATTTTTCTTGTCCCCGCTCTGTCCAGACCCGTAATTGGGCCCACCCTGCCTCCAATTTATTTATTTAACGACTCCCTCAGTTGCTGAGACTGTAAATCGTAAAATGATAGAATGATTAGTGAAAAATGAATTGGAATGGATGTCGAAGGAGATGATCTGGGCCTAATTTCAGGCAGTATCACGGCATTTTCCTGGACGCGCTGAATAAAGACACGGGAATTCTCAGTCTACATAGCCGGCCTCCGGGCTTATACTTGAAGCCGGTACTTCAGAATACGGCGTAGGAATGCTCCTTACTATCAATCAAATGGGTATTGGGAGCACTTTCCTCGGAGGTAAAGCGGCCGGGGCCTAAAGCTGCCCACTCCACAAAGTGCGAAGATTGCTAATGGATGGAGGTATACCTCTAGTTTCCCATGCAATGGTGCCTAATTAATTAAAAACTAATTCTATGAAGCGTCATGTTCTCCACGAAGCGGTACTCACGTTTCAGTGAGCGTTTCCTTGGCGTGTGCGATGTGCAGGAGTAGCAGGCAGGCTACCAGGAGACGCGCCATGTCGACACCACACGCCGCCAGCAACGAGTGAGGCAGCCGTCGGTCGCACCTGCCGTGCCACTGCCGTGCCGACCCGACCTCCCCTTCCACCGGTCCTCACTGAGCCCACTGCCACACTGCTCCCTTTGGTCCAGGGCCTTGCTTGTTATCGTTGTTCGTAGTCTTACGCACTGCGAAATTTCTGAGGGAGTGGGCGCAACCCTCCTACACGACAAAAGGCAGAGTTGTCTCTTTGCTTAATTAAGCACTATCCCATGAAGACATATAGGGGGAGTGGAGGTACACCTCCGAATGATCCATCTACCTCACGGGCCCCAGCAGAATATTTTCCAAGGGGGCGCAGTTTCTATGGTAGTTAGGGGCAACTACAAAATTTGTCTATAGACTTACATTTAAGGCGTTTAAAACCATTTTTGCTGATCGTCTTAAGAGTATTCATGATAGAAGAATAGTTTTTTTTAATCTTTGTCATATGTCCTTGTATTTTAAGTCTATTTTTTCTTCCGAAATATCCGGGGGAGGGGGGAGATGCCCGCCAAGGGTGCATAATAACGGCGTGAAACTTTGAGATTATATTTGGAAAAAGTCGTGATCAGTAGTGAAGGATACTACTCCGTGAAATGGTCCGCTGTATTGTATAGCGCACGAGTGTTACTATGTTGTCCTTGCTATCTTCGGCATACGGGGTGACAGATTTGAAGGAAAGGCGCTGTTTTCATTGCGTTGTGTAGAGTGGCAACTGGTATGCCTGAACATGAAGGAAACAACTGGAGGCTGGAAAAAAAGTTGCATTCTGAGGAGTTTCATGATTTGTACTCCTCGCCTCGCATTATTAGCATGATCAGAGCAAGAGGGATGAGACGTGCGAGGCATGCAGCACGCGTGAAAGAAATGACAAATTTCTACGAAATGTTAGTGGGATAACTTAAAGGTAGGAGTTTATTTGGGAGTCCTGTGCGAAGATGAGAATGATCAAGTCAAGGAGGATGAGGTGGGCAGGACATGTAGCACGAATGGGGAGAAGAGGAATGCATATAGGATATTGGTTGGAAAGCCAGAAGGAAAGAGACCACTGGGAAGACCAAGGCGTAGGTGGGTGGACAATATTAAAATGGATCTTAGAGAGATAGGATGGGATGGTATGGATTGGATTGGTCTGGCTCAGGATAGGGACCAGTGGAAGGCTCTTGTGAACACGGTAATGAACCTTCGGGTTCCGTAAAATGCTGGGAAATTCTTGAGTAGCTGCAGATTTGGCTTCTCCCCAAGAAGGGCTCGGCTCCATAAGTAAGCAAGCATAAATAAGGGCGAAGATGAAAGGGAAATATTCAAGTAGATCTGGTATGGTGATAGTTACTGGTTTCATCTGGCTCCATCTGTCTCTTGATAGGGTCTAATGGCGACCAATGTGAATATTAGTGTCTTAATATGCACTGAGTACCGTGCAGACAGCTCGTTTCAGCACCTGAACATGTATCTGCCCGATGTTCGGCGCAGAGAAGTGTCGGCAGATCGGTCCGCGTCATAGTTCATCTATGTACGTGATGTCATACAACGTCACCTTAAAGCGTGTGAAAGTTGCGCCCCTCTCATATTAACGATGGCGTCATTAAGGCTGGTCAGCTGCTTCAGACATTCCAGCAAGCCGTTTCCTGCTTGCACGTAACCATGTTATAACTGGGTATTGCAAAATTGAATGAAGTTCATGGGTACATGAGGCATGGAGGTTTAGCTCCACGCATTCTTAAACCCTGCACTAGATGGAAATCAGAAATCACGTCCGTGTCCCAGCCGGTTTTCACGGGGAAAATCCCCCTTCCTCGCCCACCAATTTTAAAATTGTGGAACCTTTCGAACTTGCTCTTGGCTGGCTGCATGCTTCTTGCTTGCTATTTGCGTTGTTACACTTTTACCCTGTAGATGGAGGCAGTACTTTGCCCCGAAGCGTCCGTGAACCTGTGGCGCCGCACACCAAAATAATTCTGTTAAATCTTGTATGCAATTCCGATCAGAAAGTGAAATACGAAAAGCAGAAGAAAAAGAGATATGTAATCGATTATAATTATCGTTTGTTACTAGCGACTCGTGACATTTTGATATCGATTGTGATCTCGACGGAGTAGAGCGAGTAGAGTTATTTCGTTGCCTTCAGTGCTGTTATTTTAACAAATTGTGTTCCAATCGAAAATGTCTTAATATGGACAGATTACTGTGTCACGTTATTGGCAGGTATTCAAGAGTGCACCTCGATGTGGATGCAAGTTTTCTTCAAAGAGCTGTTCGGTGTTTCAGTAATGTAAGCATAGTCTTGGATTATATTTACGCGAATGGGCAACAAAAGTCTCGTTTACAGTAACTTTATTTACCCAGCACGGCCCTTGTTGAGCACATACAGACGAGTGTAGATTAATTTCTATCGTATTTGTTACATTGTTTTACGTTTCAGAACCAGCACTTGAAGTTCCGAATCCTAAGTAATGTTCGCAACGCTTGATCCGAATTCTGACCTTTTAGGTTAGGCCCTGTATTCAGATTACTTTGGCTTTGTGGTAGATTTGGGCAAGTCTTCTGTGACATTTAGCAGCCCTACACGCCAAGAACATATTTCAAGAATTGTAGTAACAAAAGCAAATTCAAAGACATTCCAGATGTTTTGGTAAGCTGTGTGCAAGGATGGCCATGTAGTTGGGAAGTTGTGTGGAGGAGACAACATTAGTTCATTTCGGTTCACACAGTTTAATTCAGTTGCCTTGTCATTAATTTCACTATACACTATATAGGGACTATAAGTACAGGCTAAGTTAATATGTGTATACTTTGTTTTCACAACTGAATATCCAATCATGGGAATATAAATATAACGGTTGGTGTGCTGGAAATAACACTGCTAACATTTACCTTAGGTTAAGTTGGTTTGGAGTGATCCTTTTTTTTTTTTTTTTTATTTATGGATTTATTTGATCTGTCTGTTGATAGATGAAAATAACCAGTTGAAGTGAGTGTAAACCCATTAGCTGCTTTTTGTAGGGTTTAAGCCCTGAGAATTTATATGAGTTTTTTGCCCCCATGGGTGAGCATAAGCTGGTAAAGCTTTCAGTCTTGAATGAAGTTGAGTATACATTTTCACTTGCAGAAAAATCAAGTATAATAAAATGCAATACATTTCAAGGCAGGTGTGTCACTGATTAGTGAATATTTCTGTGTTCAGGTGCCCCTTCCAGTACCAGAACATGTGTCACCTTCACAGGTGACAGCTGAAAACCAGTATGAGTGTATTGCTGCCGTTGTGACCCCACTGTGGCAGACTCCATATAAGGAGCAGCTAGCAATAAAGTTGCAGTGGAGTCAGAGTGTAATGTGGAATGTTGTAAAGAAAATATGTAAGCAGAGGAAGAGCTGGAATGTAAAGAAATTTTCATATAGATTGCATCGTGTGAAGCCTTCGGTAAGTGGGTTGTACCATATTTTGTGTTCCAAGCTGAATAAAAAGAGGCTAACTGATCTATTGATCAGAATTTACCATGACTTGTTCAGCTCAGTAAGAAATTTCCTCTTGTTATAAAGCCTCAAGTTTCATCATTAGGTCATCACAAAAGACCATCAGCTGAATACAGTTCATATCTAACAACCTGCTTCTTTTAGATTAGTTTATGTTCATTCTATGTCTACAGCTCTTCCCATGAAAATTTTGATACAGAATGTTCCTTCTCACTCTCCTGAGTTGCCTTTATCCAAGAGATTTCCCCTCCAAAATTCTGTTTGCATTCCTTGTAGTTTAATTACTACAGTACTTTTTATCTCCCATATTGTCAGATACCTTTTACTGGTGTGCTAATTTTTCCTTATTCCAGATAGAAAGAATGATATTTGATGTTGTCATGGCAATGAATACAACTTCAAAGGTCTGAGATCATGTAGATTCATAGGTACGTACAAATATGATGGAGGGATTATTATATAGGACTGAATATTGAATAATAAATTGGAATGGACGTGGGAGGAAGAAATCATGGACTTTCAAGATACTCTCCCAGGATTTGCATGGAGGAACTGTGGAAAACTGCAGAAACACTCCAAAATGTAAAGCAGAAGAGCTACCCACTTAACTGTGGTGTTCGGCCCTGTCCTCTGTTATTAACGTGTTTGTACTTTATTCCACAAGGCTGTTGGTACCTGAGGCTATGTCAGAAAGGATGTAAAAGAAATCTGCTGCCACTGTTGTGAGGTACTGTACTGGTATTTGCCTGCAGACACTGAGGAAGACTATAGAAGCTTCAGTCACGATAGTTGGTGTTCTGGCCAGTATTTTTAATTGTGCCCCTGCAAAACATGGGGCACATGGTAGCATGGTTGGTTGAGGCACTATGCTACAAGCCAGAAGGTCGCAGGTTCCTATGAGGTCATTGGATTTTTCAGTTGACCTAATCCTTCTAGTCGCACTATGGCCGTAGGGTTAAACCAGCCTCTAAGAGAAATGAGTACCAGGAATCTTCCTGGGGGTAAAGGGCAGCCGGTGCATAAGGCAGACAACTTCACTGCCATCTGTGAGCTGATTGTCTAGAAAATGTGGGAGCCTCAATGTTGCAAAACCCCATGGGCCTCCACAGCCTGTTATAGGGATAGCTTTACCCTTTACCTTATGTGCAAAATGCAACTCAGAATTGTTGCTTCTGGAGTCACTTGCTCAGTGCATAGCTACTTGTATTATTTAACTCAGAATTACATATTTCACAGTGGATTTCAGTTGTCTGTCCTGTCTTATTCCAGCCTGTTACAGAAGGCTATCGCAATAAGGATGATTTTAACATTCAGACTGGGGTTGATGGAAATCCCAAGACCATGGGATTCTTTGTGGGGAGTCCTGCCGATGGTCCTGTGGTCTGCGTGAGAGGAACTCATCTCGTCAACATACGACAGAGCCATAAGGAAGTAGCACAGGTAGACTGCTCCCTGCAGTGTCTTGTTGAGTTAATTAGTATAGTTGTAAAGTTGCCCCCTCCTTAATTAACACTGCGGACTGGTGGCATATTTTTATGCCCACCGCTTTTAAACGTGGCGGACCGGTGGCATATTTTTATGACTTTAGGACACGATAGATTGTAACACATTATACCTTTCTCTGGCGCCACCCAAATAAAATGACTACTGCTTAATAGTATTCCGGAATGTTTGCTTAGTAGGCAGTAACTTGATCTCGCTGTTTGGGTACCCCTTCCAAAGGAAAATTATCTTTGACCCTTCAAGCTCTTATGTACCAGGCAAGAAGTTAGTTGCGCAATGAGTCAAGGACAGAAGCGGACGAAAACCAAGCAATATCTGACGTGCTATCTGACGTGAGCTATTTGACATTCCTTCTGAGATGTATAGTGATAGTGATTTGACAGTGGCAGTGGCAGAGGACAACAAACAATTTTGGCTACAAACAATATAAGTGAAAGTAGCTCCGACGAAAGTGCAGGTAGAAGGGGAATGTTTCCAGAAATATCACACTCTCAAGCACTTCTAGAAGCATTGGTAAGTGTTCTCCAAAAATTTTAGTTCATAAAATTAATTAGGATATTTTATATTAATTTTTAAAGTGAACATTGCACAAGTTAGGGTAGTGGGTTAAAAAATGCCAGTCCCCAGGGTGACTTAAATATTTAAATTGCCGGTCCACAAAGTGTTAAGCACCACACCATCAAGAAATAGATAGGCAGTCCTATGTGTTCTTAACTGTGACCTTAGATGGGGTGATCAGTCAGGATCCCAGTTACCTAGTAGATAGAACCTTGAAGTACTTAAGTGACAGTTTTGCCGTCAAGTGTAACATTCCCAATCGCAGGCATATGAAGACTACATCCGGTTATCTCCGCTGCCTCCGTGCTGTCATTTTGGAGATGGTGGCCATTGGCGCAATCTGGTAGTGCGTTCCAATGAAGCAGGTCAACTTATGGCTGTTGTTACGTTCCATCCACAAGATTTGGAGCAGGAGAGACTGGAAGAAGAAGGAGCCAAGCTTCGAGAGTACTTTCTTCATGGGCCAGGAGCACGGTGTAATCTGACCTCTCTGTATTTTCAGCCATGGTATGACACAGTGTTCTCCTTTTACTTTGTAGTAGCAGCCCAGATGCCATGATGGATCCAGAAAGTTAATGACGGGGTCAGTTGGTCTTGTGGCTAGTTGGGGAGTCTGAGACTCTTCATTTGAAATGATCCAGCAATTTAATGAATAAATTTTCGTTGGATTCATCAGGCCAAGGACAGGGACTGGCAAAAGACTCTTATAAACATGATAATGAACCTTTAGGTTCCATGAGAGGCAGGGAGTTTTCTTGAGTAGCTGAATAATTATCAGCTTTTCATGAGGACTTTGTTCATTGTACTTCCCTGGATAAGCAGTGAAATTAATATGTATTATTATTATTTTTTTATTATTGCTGTTGGGGTGGGACTAACTCCCTTGTATAGACAGTGTCACATAACTTCGAACAAGGCCCTGCATTGATAGTCAAATCCCGCGCATAGCTTGTGGTGGGAGGAGTTTCTTAATACTCGTTCTTCCAATGGACGCCTGTCACTTCTCACCTTCGAAGTTACGTGACACTTGCTATACTGCGTCCACTTCTAGCCTATTGTACCAGCCCCAGATGATAGGTGAGGGTGATTGTGGAGCAGTTGGTGGAATGAAGATTGGCAGGGGAAACCGAAGTACTCTGAGAAAACCTGCCCCATTGCCACTTTGTCCACCACAAATCCCACTTGANTTGCTTAGCGGTATCTATAATGCTTCCCCCATCTATCAGAGGCCTTAGAGACTATTGTTGGGCGGGAAACGTCCTGGAATTTGGCTCAGTGATCCCCTTTGGGGATATGAGGTTCTTTTACGTGTCGTAAAGTTATGACACGGGACACACAGCTTAAAGTCCTTCCCGGAGGACTTGTTCCCTGAATTTTTCCACCCTTAAAAATTCGACGACCTCCGCCGGGTTTTTGAACCCGCGTACCACGAGTCATGAGGTGGGAACGTTACCTCTAGACTATGGAGGCCGCCAACCGCTTGAGCTATGGCACATCCTAAATTAATATGTAACTAATTTGTGAATTGGAATTCATAAGTGATATGTACATTTATAAATGTATTTTAGTTGAATGCTGTTGGTAAGAACATGAATATGGTTTGTGAGAAACTCTAATACCATTTCTACACATTACAAATAGAAACCAAACGAAGAAAGCCAGTTCAAGTTTCAAAGTACATATTCAGACGCAAAATAAAACACCCTTCTGTTCATATTTCTTCCTCTTTAAAAAGGAATTTGGAATGTTGGAAGCACAAGTCATGTCTCTAAACAAAGCCCCCTGGATCATTTCTCCCTAGTTAATCAGGGTATACTATATATCTCTGTAAAATTCATTCCTTAAAAATGAGTTTTAAAAGCATGTACCTGATTTGTTACAGTCCTGTATTTGAAAGGTGAATTTTGTGGATAGTGATTGGATTGTCCAAGTTTTGTTGTGATTGTGGTGGTGAATGTTATGGTTCCATGTTCATGCTGTGAAATCTCATGGTCATATGGATCACACTCATGCTTCATATGTTGGAGTTCAAATCTTGGTTTGGGGACCTACTGTTCTAACTGATGTTTTTCCTGGATTTCCTCAGCTCCACAAGGCAAATGATGGGAAAGTACCTAAAATCAGGTCATGACCAATTCCTACTGCATACATAGGAATTCAGTGTTCATCATCATCCAGTACTGTATAATGATGACTTTGTTGAATAAAACATAATTTGTAAATAAACATGAATATTTCTGTCTTCTGGGATGTGACACTGTGTAGTCTGATAGTTATTTACCAACATTTTAGACTAATCTGCTACCACCACCTGTGGAGTACACTGAAGATGGAAGCTGCAAGTTCCTCTAAAACACTAGTATCTGTTTGTCAAGTTACAGGGTGTCACATCCTGGAAGACATTGAATGTATGAATGAATGTATAAGGGGGGGGGGGCTTCTTGGCCCTTGCACCGCAACCACAGTGATCTGTTGTGCCTTGGAAGACATTGATATTCATAGTCACCACCGTGAGACACACAGACATATTGGTGGGAGCACATAAATTAAATGATATGGTTTCATTGAATTGTTGTACAGTCGACATACGCGGTGCACAGCAGATCAGGCACCGTACACACTCCTCTTTGGGGACCCACACTTAACAGAGACGTTGGAAGACTTCAAGTTCCGGGTGTCACCTGACTCATTTTTCCAAGTGAACACTGCTGCGGCAGCTGTCCTGTATAACACAGTGTTCTCATTGGCTCACCTCACACCTATGACAACTCTGCTTGATGTGTGCTGTGGCACAGGTGGGTTGTTGTTTTAGTTTGTCTCTGCCCTGTTTCTGAACCGCATCTACTTTACGGGCCTATCCTCCAGTTGGGGATGAAGTGGCCCATAGATATGGTGCATAGGTGCTCACCAAATAAGCAGTTGCAGGTCTGGCTTTCCATCTTGGGGTTGGACAATGACTGATGGCTAATCACCATTGGAATTGGACGGATTCTTTGGAAGAACCTGGCCAACAGAAAATGTGTGTGAAATTTGGATCATGGAATATAGGGAGTCTGTAGGGCAGGCTCACTGAACTCCTCTCACCAGATAGCATTAGGATGATCGCAACAAGGATGAGATGGAGAAAGCATGTAGCATGTGTGGGAGTGGAAAGTAATGCATACAAATTTTGGTAGGAAAACCTGAAGAAAAGAGACCATTTTGAAGATCTAGGTATAGATTAGAATTGAATTTTAAAGAAATAGGATCTGAGAGTATGGACAGAATTCTTCTGCTTCGTGACGGGCCAGTGTTGTGCCCTCGTAAGTGCTGTAACGAACCTTCGGGTTCCGTAAGATGCTGGGAATTTCTTTACCAGCTGAGCAACTGTTAGGTTCTCAAGAAGGATTCTGCTGCGTGAACTTGTATGGAAACAAGAAAATATATAGGGTTTTACTGTGAAATGTCATGGAAACACACTTATATGTGAAGTTCTTTTATATGATGAAGTAAATGCCTCTTACAGTACTTTTTTAACAGACTTTTGTACTATTTTGAAAGAGCTTTTCCTTTAAAGACAGTTTATAAGAAAAACTGTAATGAGATCAGATGGATTACCCAGGGGATAAAGGTTTCAAGTCAGAAAATGAGACTTTTAAACGCTTTAAAGAAAAATACAAATTTTTCAAATAATGTATTAGAATACATTAATAGATATCAGAAAATCTATAGAAGGGTTATAAGAGAAGCTAAAAGAAAAGAAAATGATAGGTTTATGTTAAGTTCACATAGCAAAACAAAGGCAATTTGGCAAATAATAAATAAAGAAACTGGAAGTTCTTGGCAGGGCGACTATATAACTAGTTTAAAGAATGGAAGTGAGGAAACATCTAATCCACAAAAAATGGCAGACATGTTGAATTCCTTTTTTATTGAAAGTGTTGAAGATCTTTTAGTGAATAATATAAACCATTCTCCAGTACAAACCTCACAACAGAGAATTCAATATCAAATGAACACAATGTTTTGGCTCCCTATTACTGAAATTGAAATAGAGAGGGTAATAAAAGAATCTAAGAGGTAAACCATTTGCAGGCTTTGATGAAATTCCAGAATTTCTAGCCAAGAGATATTCACATTACATGAAAAAACCTTTAATACATATTTTCATTGCCTCTTTAAAATCGGGGGTGTTTCCGGATAAGATGAAAATAGCTAAATTAAGACCACTGTATAAAATTGGGGAAAGACAGGAAGTTTGTAATTACAGGCCAATATCAGTTTTGCCAGTTTTCTCCAAAATGCTAGAAAAATTGGTGTAGAACAGGTTGATATCCGTTGTAACAAAATATACCATATTAACAGAAGTGCAAAAAGGATTTAGGAAAAACAAATCAACAGAAACAGCTTCCCAGACCTTCATTGAGAGTATACAGGAGGCGATGGATAGACGGTTACACGTTATAGGAATATTTTTTGACTTGACAAAGGCATATGTGATAGACCACAATGTATTACTAGATAAATTAAATTACTATGGGATCAGAGGGGCTACTAATTTATGGTTGAAATCTTATTTATCTCACCGAGTACAATTTGTTGAAATAAATCACCTGAATAAATATATCATCCAAAATACATATATATCACCCTTTAGAGAAACAATACGTGGGGTACCACAGGGGTCAATTCTGGGACCACTACTGTTCCTTCTGTATATAAATGATCTCCCGCTAAATGTACAAGGTGGAGAAATGGTATTGTTTGCAGACGATATTAATGTGCTTGTTATTGATAAAGATAAAGATGCAGCTCAACAGAAAATAAATAAGATCATGAAACAGCTTGAAACAGGGTTTCAGGTAAATAACCTTTTAATAAATATAAAAAAGCAGCTACTATGTCATTCCATCTTAGTAAAAATAGGTCTGTAGTTAGACCACAGATACTCTATAATAACTTGGAAATTGCTTACTCATCGGAACAGATTTTTGGGTATAGATATTATTGAAAACCTTAAATGGAATACCCACATCCAGTCATTATGTTCAAGACTTAGTAAAACATCCTATATAAATAAATCACTAGGAGGAGTTTTGAGTCCAAATATGTTAAGAAGGATTTCTTTTGGAAAGTTTCAATCGTTATTGAGATATGGAATAATATTTTGGGGGGGTGAAGGTGATAGTATAAAGGTATTTAAAATGCAGAAGAGGGTGTTGCAAATAATTAGTGGACTTGGTAAAGAAGAGTCATGAAGGCAAATTATTAAAGATAATGGCATCATCACGGTCACATCTTTGTATATCTTAGAGGTGTTATGTTACACAAAAAAGCACAAAGCAGATTTGATCCAAAATATAAATATTCATAGTTATAATGCAAGAATAAACAAGGATTTTCATGTTCAATTCTGCAGAACTACAGTATTTAAAAATGTGTGGTAAATTTGGGGATAGAATTGTATAGTAAGGTGCCAAACAAAATAAAAAACTCGGTGGGTTTTTCGGCTTTTAAGAAAGACTTAAAATCATTTTTATTGAAACATTCTTTTTATACGATAAATGAATTTGTTAGTTTTAATAAAAAAGTGGATGGTGCAAGTACTTATGTTTGGATGTCATAGCCATTCATGAGCTGTGTATAGTAGTTTTATATTTTTTGGAATGTTGTATTTATATATTGCTTATGATTGTAACAAATGTTGGTAGTATGCTTGTAACTTTGTAGATTTATTTTGTTAACTCTTATTAGTAAATGACATGTCCAAGTGTTACTATGTAGCAAAACGGATGAAGTACAATACAATATAATACGATATTAAAATGAACATTAACCATATAACCCATGTGTTTATTATGTGTCAGGCCAGCTCCTATTGCTGGCTTTTGTACACTTCTTCCATTTATATAGTACAGCCAGCATAGTACATTCATGATTGCAAAAGCATCTTCATTTCTTCCATTGATACCATTCCTGCATGTTCAGTGAGATCTCTTTATGACACTCATAGACATCATTGTTTATAGGTTGCATAATTAATACCAAACTTCACAGAATCTATAACATATTTACAGTTGCAATTTATGGTGATGTTAGCACACTTCAAAGAAATTTTAGTCAGAATGTAGAATGTCTTAGCAGTGGAAATGGGTTGAACTGACTCAGAACGGGGCCCAGGTAATATTAGATTGGTACAGAACGCTTAGATGTTTCTTGTACTACCCCAGGTACTATGAGTATCCTGGCATCTCGTCGTGTGCGAGGTGCAGTTGGTGTGGATTCTGTTAGCAGTGCGGTCACAGATGCCAGAAACAATGCCCTTGCTAATGAAGCACTCAATGTGGAGTTCATAGCAGGTCTTGCTGAAAAGGTAAGTCACAAAATTTTTCATAAGGAATTGCATGTTATATAAAGTGTGATCAAACTTGTGGTCTGTTTTGGATTTGTAGTTCTTGTGGTGGTGATTGCGAAGAGTGCGGTCTTCTGGGTTTTGTAGTTCAGAGGAAGTGCAATGCTTCAGAGGTATATTTTGTCTCCATCATCAGAGTCGGAGAGTAAGCCAAGCGAGAAATCAGCAGAAGCAGGTGGCAAGCTGATCCATGGCTGAGGAAGATGGAGGTGATATTTTATTTGAAAATGTTGGGCTGCCTCTGAACTACACTCATTGCAGCCCACGGTCAGCTGGATATATGATGGGATACCCAAAAGAAACGAAACTAATTTTTTTGTGGGCAGAGCTTTTGTAGTACCGCGTTTTGCCGCTATGAGCGCATAGAGCTAACATTCCTGAGTTGATAAGCCGACTACCGTTGCTTCAGAAGGTAAGGACTAGTTTCGGCAGAGTTTATAGTAACAATTGTTTTGTGTGATCGTCGTTTTTGCAATGGCTGATTTTCGTGAACAGCGTGCGGCTGTGAAATTCTGCTTTTTGCTCAGGAAAAGTGGAACAGAAACTCTTGGAATGTTAAAAACGGCGTACAAGGACGATGCTATGGGGAAAACTCAAGTGTTTGAGTGGTTTTCCCGTTTCAAAAATTGTGAAATGTCAATTGATGACAAACTTCGTTCTAGTCGTCCTTCCACGGCCCGAACACATGAATATGTTGAAAAAATTCGTGAAATCATCAAGGAAGGTCGATGATGGACCATTGAAGAAATTGTGGAGCTGTCGGGAGTGACTTGGAGCTCAGTTCAGCGAATTTTGACAGGAGATTTGGGAGTGAAAAGGGTGGCTGCGAAATTCGTGGCACGACTGCTGACTGCTGAACAAAAACAAGGTCGCGTGGAAGCATGCTGTGCTTTGAAAGAAGAGTCCCGAAATGATCAAAACTTTTTTTTGTTTCCTCAAATGAAAAGAGACATGAAAGGAAAGCGTTTTGCTGATGTTGCTGAGGTGAAGGAAAAAACGATGGAGGCGCTGTCAGGCATCTCAAAATATGAATTTAGACAATGTTTTGAAAAATGGAATAAAAGACTAGACAAGTGTATTAGTGTAAGTGGAGGAGAGTACTTTGAAGGGGATTGAAGGTTTGTGGTTAAAATTTGAATAAATAAGTTTAAAAAAAAATAAGTTCGGTTTCTTTTGGGTACCCCCTCGTACACAGCTCATGGCCCATATAACCAATTTTTTGTTTTTGATTTGTATGTAGCTCGTCATGTTCACAACATGTTGTACTCGTATCTGTACAATACTAAACTTGTGTTGTATTTTGGAGCCTCTCCTCCTCTCATGTTCACTCTAGTAATGTGAAGATTGAAATATACAGATGTATCATTTTATCTGTTTCATATATGTATGTAACTTGATATTATACCCAAAGGGAAGAACACACTGTATTTGATCATGTAATGTACCCCACCCCATCTTGGGGGAGAATTTTTTTTAACCACTTACCAGCCTATGAAATTTGTGATGGTGCTTTGTGTGGTATTTGTCCCCAGTCCATGAGGTTTTCTGTTATCTGTAATAAAAGTTTCTTACTTCAGCACATGTAGGATGACAGCCATTCAGTATTAATGCGCATGTGTATTTGGACCTGTGTGAGAAGTGTCACACTAATTTCATTTTGGTGATTTCAGAAAATACCTAGAATCATCGCAGGGCTGGGGATGGCTTCACATATAGTTGCTGTTGTGAATCCAGGTCGCAGTGGTTTACGTGAGTCTGCTCTGTTTTATTTGTACTGGCCTGATACTGTAGCTGATTCTCTGATATTTGAGATTCTTATGGCAGTAACTGAAGACACCATGTAGTCTGGTAGACTGTTTAGGCTAAAGTTTTAAATGAATGTGCTGTCAGCATCTTCCTCTGAAATGTTGATAACGATCCACCAGACTGAATGGCGTCACATCCCAGTAATTCTGTTTGCATGCAATAAAATGACTTTGAGACACTCGGAAACCCTGGATATAGATGGTGTGGACTAGATTAATGTAGCTGAGGACAGGGACCAGTTATGGGATCTTGTGAACACAGTAGTGAATCTTCACATTCCATAAAGGGCGATAATTTCTTGAGTAGCTGAGAGACTGTTAGCTCTTCATGAAGGCTTCCACCCAGGTGTTGACAATATATACACATTGTCACTGAGTTCTTGGTTTTGTTCTTCTGGAGTGAAACATCCATATTTCCCACACAGTAGTTTTTGCTCTGTGTCCCACGGCCAGCTTGTGGATGGAAATGTATAATGATGGCCATGTTTAGATGTGAGGACTGTGATTGATGCTGCAGTACGTGCTCTCCCTCCCGCCCCAAATTTTACATATTTTTTTTGACATTGAACTGTCCCCCTCATTGCTAGGAACTTTGTGATCTAGAGCCAATGTACTGGCCTTTTGTGCAGAGAGTCTTGGGCATAAACTTTATGCAAGGAATACCAGCACCACACCATGGTTTGAATCCATGTTTCAGCTGAGCTGTATGTTTTATCTCCTTCTGTCGTCAGGCGAAAAATACAAATCTACCATCTGGGTTCTCCCATCAGAAATGCGTATTTCTGCCTTTGCTGTAACAGGCAAACATAAGCAGGCAGCCAACTTTTACTGGCTGTGTGCTGGTTGATCACTGCATTTTTTTTCATTCTTAATACCATTACTCCTGAACCGAAATATGGCTGCCAAACCCACTGTACCGTGAGTGTTATCTATTTGTTCCTTGCAGATTCCCAAGCAGTGAAAGCCCTGTGTAGTTGCAGACAGATTAAGCGCGTGGTATATGTATCCTGCAAGGCAGACAGCCCCAACACAGTATCCAACTTCATACAGCTTTGCACCGAGGGGCAGTTCTCATTGGGTCATGTAGTGCCAGTGGATCTGTTCCCACACACACTACACACTGAGCTCATACTGGAATTCAGCAGGTGACATCATTTCTTTTGTTACACACAGTTCTTGTACAGTAATATTTGTGCCCTGGTAATAAAGTACTTGTGAATTAAGTTCTGCATCATTTTAGCTAATTAATTTTTCCTGAATCGTTTTCTACAAAAGCTCTGTAATGCTTTGGCTTTCTTTATCATGACCCAAGATTGTTTGGGTAATGAAATACAGAAAGCTTGAAATAAATAGACCACTTGAGAGACATAAGTGTAGATAGAAGGATAATAATACTGTGAAGGAAAGTGTACTACCTCCTGTAACATTCATATACTCTGTACTTTGGCCACATAGTGTGCTTTAGTGTTTTATATGATTCTCAGAATAAACACTGATTATTTCCCTAAACAGCATTAACTACTTGGTCTTTGTAATGGATACTTTCAGTGAGGTAGGAACTGAAGTTTTAAATATTTAGATTTCGCGCTTCAGCAATGCAGATTCTGAGTTATCCAGGGAACTACAAAACAAAACATGTACTCACCATACAAGTAGTCCTGCACAGCAAAGAGAACTGAAAAGCCTTTACTGTGACTAAAACCTACTGAAGCTGAGGAGCTACGCCAGATTATGCTGTCCTTGGCTGGGTGGCATACATAATTACCTGGGAATTCCCTACAACCTACATATCAATAGACCATTAATATTACCCTGGGCCTAACAATTTATGAATCTCAAAGAAGGGAACATATAACATATGCAGCTGAGGCACACATCATCAAACTCCACATATTCCAAAACTGAGGTGTTAAGAATTCTTACAAAACTTACATATTATGACCTCGTACACACACAAAAAAAATGAACTCCATGGTTTTAGTCCGCAAGCGAAGTACACTGACCAGGACCGCCACTTGTTGGCAAAGTTAGTGCCAACTTTAGTAGATAGAGGGTGTCGTGTGGTCAGGGCAACAAATCCCCACGGCCGTTAATTTTGGTGTCATAGACCAGAGCCGCTATTTCCTTGAAATAGCTCCTCAGTTATCCTCACGAGGCTGAGTGGACCCCATTCCAGACCAACTACTTCTCAGAAAGTCTGGTAGCTCTGGGAATCGAACTTGGACCTCTGGATCTGTAGCCAGGAACTCTAACCGCTAGCCCACAGAGGCAGTTGACCTCATACACACAACGGTGAAAAAAGTGTGACTGGATCACTTAAAAGTTGTGTGTGAGTAGAGGGCTGCTCATTCCATCTGGCTAATCGCTGAAGAAGTCTGGAGGATCCAGTACATAGGCATTACCTACAGACTAATGCTTTCTTGCATAAAAAGAGAGTCTGTATTATGCATTGGCAGTTAAGAAGACAATGGACAGAGTGACACACAAATACTTTATGTTTATCTTGTGAAATTCCAATTATGACTAATCAGTATACTGTGATATTTTTGATAGGCACTTCAGTCTGAATGAAGCAACAGCATGTCAAGAAAATATTGCGGGATGTGTTCTATCGTTTGCCAACTGCTCGCTGGAAGTCAGTATATGTGTACAAGGTCCTGCGACTGACAGTCTGGACACAGATTTGGGAGTTGTTCTATTTTTGGACACTGTTAGTAGCTAGGCTGTATAGCATCAAATGGTAGCATCATAGCCAGATGAACTGGAAAATATCTGGAGGGAAGTGATCATGGGCTGATGGAAGTATTATCCTGGAATTTTCTGTAGGGACTGAGGAAAACCACTAAACGTTTACTCAAGATGGTCTGTGTCCTGGCCGAGCACCTTCCGAATGTGGTAAAGTGTGTGGCTGCTAACGCCTACTCATTCAGTGCAGGTTTTCTTGGATTTACTGTCTTACAGGAAATGCTGAAATAAAAGTACTTCCCCAAGTTCCAAGCCATTGCTGCATGCTTTTGCTGCTTTTCCAATTATAAATACATTAAAATGAAATAATTTGTCAGTACATATTTCACTTCTTAGATCTGGGGTAACAGTTTGTGTCCCAGTGTAGCGAACCTTGCAATTCCACATCATCTTAGTCAAGCCGCTGTTACACAAAGGGGGATGTGTGTGGAAAAGGTGTTTAAAACACTGTTTAGTCGTTAAAAGGGAACAGAATTGGAGAACAGTATCTAATCTAAGTAGCATTGATGGTGGAATGACTGAGGGTGTTGTCCTAATTAAGGCACTGTTCCTGAAGTTTCTTAGAGGGGCTGAGAAATCCCATGAAAAACCTCAGTCCATGGACGGTATTAGAACCAAGAATCTCCTGAATACAAGCGTAGAGATGGCTACTGAATCGCAGTCTGACACATACAGCTATATACAGAGGGGTCCAAAAAAATGTACTCACTCTTTGATAGTCAATATCTTTGGAACAAAATGACATGTAGTTACACTTCTTGCGCAGAGAGAGAGAGAGAGTCATTGTATGTGCTCAAAGTGACCACCATCAGCGGCTGAAGAGCATCAATGCCGCCGAACTGCTGAGCGAACTACAGCTGTCAGTGTGTCCGGTGTGATGGCTGTACGCAACGCTTCGATGGTTTCTCGTAGTGAGTTCAGTGTAGCTGGCTTTTGGCGATAAACTTCATCCTTCAAGGTTCCCTATAGGTAGAAGTCGAGAGGTGTTGGGTCTGGAGACCGTGGTGGGTACTCAATAGCACCTCTTCGACCCATCCATCATCCAGATAGAGTGTCATCCAAGTACGCCCTGACATCTCGATGGTAGTGAGGTGGAGCACCATCTTGTTGTAGGTAAAATCTCTCATCTCCAAACAGCTCTCGAATGGCAGGGAAAAATCGATGCCTGAAGCAAATGAAGATACACCTGACCAGTTATGGTACCTTCAAAGGACAAATCAAACCGCGCGATGACAGACCACACCACACATTAACACCCGGTAGATTCGCTTCCTTGCCCACGTGAACGTGTGGATTTACAGGAGCTGTTGGTGGCTGAGTTCCAAACTCATTCTGCCAGTCATTGTACCTCTTTAATGTTTTTGTACCACTTCAATACAGCCTTGTGTTGCTCAAAGTACGTTTCAGCCATTGTTGCTGCTTTCTTCTGCTTGCAGCGCGCACGTGGCACGACACTCACATGACCTTCGCCATCTGTTGAGAAAATATTACACTACACTACCACGCAAGAATTGTAATTACATGTCATTTTGTTCCAAAGATATAGACTATCAAATAGTGACTACATTTTTTTTGACCCCCTATATATGCTGAGGAGTGGCATCACGGGTAAAGGTAAAGCCATAGCCATCCCTGTATTCAATTATGTAATTACTATCCCATGGAGGCATAGCTCCACCATTCCTAACCTTGGCACTAGATGGTCAGTAGTCAGTTTTACACCCCAGCCACTTTACCTTTTGGGATAAAGCCACTGGTACCCATTGGATGAGTCTGAACCAGTTTGGACACTACACAGAAAAGAAAAACCTCTTACCCTTGCTTGGAATTGAACCTCAGTTGTACAGCACATAGCCTAGTCACTATACTGAATGAGCTATCCCAGCTCTGTGGCATCATTGAACAATTCACTAGAAGGAAAGGGATGGCATTTGGTTATGAGTGTTATTTCCTTTCTAAAGCCTAAAGATTAGAGCTTAATTCCTTCAGGTGTTTCATGTAGGCATGAAAGTTTCATTCCAAGGGAATCTTGGGCACAATTAGGATATCAGTTTTTATTGATATTTTCCATTCATTTTAGTCATTTCAAATATCTGGCTCCTTAACACTTGTCACTTGTAACAGTTACCCATACTTTTCTGTTATGCCAGTCACCCATCGCTGTACAGCCTCTCTCTCTCTTGTCTTCCCTGAAAATGTTTTATTCAACTCACTTAGCTCATGTTTTGGCATAATGGAGTGTACAGCATTTGAATAAAGCATGGGACAAACAAATACTTGTCTAAAATTCTTTACTGGGATCCGTCGTAACACAACAATGAAACCATGTATTTGCCCGATAATGACTTTAAAAGCCGAAACATGTAGCTAAGGTGATATGGACGTAGCCCATTTCATTATTGTCTTATGACACATCCCAGTAAAGAAGTTTATACAATAAACACAACAGGTTGCAACCAATGGGAGGAAAAAAACACTTTTCTTTTATTTTTCCTTATAGCTTGATTTTTCATATTACATATATATGTGCAAGAAATTAGTTCTCAGAAACAGTAATCAGTGAACAAACGCTATGCAACCCGCTTACTCAAGTTCATGAATCCAACTCCTAAGCAGGTGACAAGAACTTTGTTTGCTCCAGTGTTTAGCTCCTCCTCTTCTTCGCTCTTCTTATGACTTTCAAGTCTGAATGTGTGACCAAAGAAGACTCTGAGATGTCGCAAGAACTGAATGGTGTATGGCGACAGTGGACCCATTATGCACTTTGAAATATCTTTTGTTGCCATAGTCATGAACAGAGCAGCAAAACTTTGAAATGTTGAGTCCACACACCCACCTCTGTAAACCTCTTCCAGAAGAAGGAAGGCAGCCTCTTTTCCAACTTCCTCTGGTACAGACGGAAGCCTCCCACAACCAGCAGGATTTGAAACAGCCTCTGCGGTGTAATACACGCCTGTTGTAGTCTCTGCCACCACGGTGATACCAAAACCTGGAGATTTTCCAGACTTGTTGCCTCGATGGTGATCTGTATAAATGTACACATCTGGAATAAACTGTAAGAAAACTCCTTTGGCTGCTTCAACAAGACGGTTGCTAATAACTGGTGAGACACGTACTGCATACACAACACCTCGAATACGTTTCACTTTCCCTTGGTCCATAAGCTGGATAGGTTTCAGTTGTCTGCGCACAGGGCACTTAAACACTACCTCTCCCCCACCTTCCGGAGCCATTCCACGCTTTGTAATTTTTAGTTCAAGGCCATCATCAACTATCAGGAACTTCTTCAAGACCGGGATGGCACCACTCAAAAAGGCATCCACCGAGGGATCGTTCTGATTATTTGTCACACCTTTCAAAGTTATATGCAGTGCTTTCTTACAAAATGGTCCCAATGCTACTAAAACTTCCAAGTAGTAACCAATGGCCTTCAGTTTGCAACAATCGTGATCTAGTGTGCCCCCATGCAGAAGTCCTGGTTGGTAATAGAGCGATGTACCTGTTTCACTCACTTCAATACGAGACCCATTTGTTATCTTGTCCAGTAAGCGTATCAAATTCACCTCAAATTCTCGCAAACCAGGTTCGTCATCCTGAGATCTAATTTCTTTTATTCTAACAGGTTTGCCGCTCAATGTGGACAACACTAGTCGCTGTCGAAGGTAATTACAGCCTTTAAGAGTAAGTGTGTTGTCTTTGGCACCAGCCATACTATTGTTCATAACATTTATACTTTATAAAGCCTATGACTACTATTACCACACCAAAATCTTGTCAGTTCACACAACTTCCAACTCGCGGAACCACCATGACCACCATGACGGTTTTGTTTGCGTATAACCGAACACAACTTTGCTCATTCTACAGTGCTACCAACAATGAATTATGAAACTGCCAAAATGTACAAATGTTTACATTTCCCTATTTCGGAATTAAAATTATCCAGCACCGTCGCATAATGCTAAAGTTATGGGAATTTATTCAAGTACATACAATAAGTAAAACTGATAAAGTGAGATATAATAACTCTGTGTCCGTGAAATATTGGATTCATATTCTCTAAACTACGTCAATATCAAAACTTTTTGCTTACACCAGCGGTGGTGGTCATGCCGTTAGATATGTATCGCTTTAAACTGAAGTTTGATCATGTGTTTTGAAATTTCAGGGTTATGTCGGCGCTTGTGGATTTAATTGCATGCAATATTATAGGTAATATGCTGGAAATTTGAAGTGCACGGTCAGTGTTGAATATTACTTTCTTGTGTATTTACAAATTCTCTAAGTACGAATAACAAATTAATTGTAAGATTTGAGGCTTTCACGGCGGTGACTATGAAGAAAGCAGTCTTTTGGGATTTGGCACCGTGTATAAGTGGTGTTAACCGACGTTTCGGAGGAACGTATCGCCTCCATCTTCTCTTCTGTTGCAGAAATCTTATATTTTCTTCTACCCTGAAGATGGAGGCGATACGTTCCTCCGAAACGTCGGTTAACACCACTTATACATGGTGCCAAATCCCAAAAGACTGCTTTCTTCAACAAATTAATTATCCGAATCGTATCCATGTCATGTGAAATTTATGCTAATTAAGTTGCCCTTTAATAGTAGAAACTAAAGGATGAGGCGACCCATTGACTGATATATATGTAATCAATCAATGCTCACATCGACCTTGATGATAGAGACAGAGAAGGTCTTCGAAACGTCGAATAACAACTGAGCTTTGATGTGAATGTCAGAAGATTTTTGAAGCACATTCATTCGCCGTGAAAGCTTGAAGTCTTATAAAGTATTTATCATTGCCAGTCTGTATAGTGCCAGTTAAGTTTTATGAACTGCTAAATCATGTCATTGATTCATTTCAGAGCGGGACAGTAATGGTGACGTGCTGTGGACCTGGTCATACCCATCTGTCACTGAGCAGCAGAAATGTCTGGTGTTGCGGAAATGTTGTCTTGATGGTGACCATGTAATAGTGCAACCATTTATTTATGGGAGAAGTGGAAAGACCTGGTACTACATCAGTTGTACTGAAGTATTTGACTCTGATAACCTCCCGAGGGCAAGTATTACTGCTCATGTCACTACTCACCAGCAAGTTAGCAGAGCAAGCAAGTTGGCTGAAGTAGTAATGCTCTGATCTGTATTCAGGAGGATCCTTCTGCTTTTGTATAATGGCATATAAATTTTGTTGTCTTTAGGTGAAGCTGTTGGGGCACGCGGTAGCGTAGTGGTTGAGGAGCTATGCTACAAGCAGGAAGGTCGTGGGTTCAAGTCCCGATGAGGTCATTGGATTTTTTTCAGTTGACCTAATCCTTCCAGCCACACTAGGCCCTGGGGTTTACTCAGCCTCTAACAGAAATGAGTACCAGGAATTAGTTAAATAATTTTCCTGGGGAGTAAAGTGCGGCCAGCGCATAAGGCCGTCAACCTTACCACCATCTTTTAGCCGACTGTCTAGACAATGTGGAGCCCTCAACGTCTCACAACCCTATGGGCCTTCATGGCCTGGTTCGGTAATTCCTTTACTTTTTTTTTTTTACTTTTAGGTGAAGCAGTTTGCACTTGTGCTGTGGAGTCGAGATCTGAACCCAGACAAGTACGAAACATTGTGTCGGATGCTGAGCAAGACTTACTGCAAGACTGGCAGTCCAGTGTCCTTGCTTCAGCTGTATCTGTCAGTTGTAACACGTGGTTCCTGCACGACTGAGGAGAATGGCACATTCCTAGTTCGAGACTTTGAGGCCCGCACAAATCACAACAATCACATGCCCAATACCAGAATAAAAGGTTAGTCCAGATTTCTGCAAGCATTGCTGTTGGAATTGTGGTTTAATACAAAACTTTGAATAAGATTTTAAGATTAAGAGTTAGATGTAGGTCCCAACAGAATTTCTGGAGGTCTAGGATTCACCTCTAAAAATTAACGAATCCCGAACAAAATTTGAAATATTTTGTATAAATTGATATGTTGTTAGTTTTATGCTTTGGTTGCTTTAATCCATGAGAAAGAACCTCTAGTGTCCAATGCATAGGAAGGTGAGTGGACACCAGTATGCATGGTTGCAACAAGAAAGTTCGTTCCCTTCCCAGGAATGAACTTGGTCATGTAGCCTACATTCAGACACTTCAGTAAGTTGCCTAGCTGTTAACAGTATTTGTCACATATCCGAGGTTGGTCATTTACTAGAGCAATGCTACAAGCCGGAAGGTCACGGGATCGAATCCCAATGAGGTGGATTTTTTCAATTTACATAATCCTTCCAGGCGCACTATGGCCCTGGGGTCGACTTGGCCTCTAACAGAAATGAGTACCAGGAATATTCTTGGAATATTTTGGGGGGTAAAGGGTAGCCAGCACATAAGGCTGACAAACTTCCTGCCATCTATGAGCTGATTGTCTAGAAAATTTGGGAACCTCAACATCTCACAACCCTATGGGCCTCCACGGCCTGTTACAGGGATATCTTTACTTACTTTTACTTTTTTACTGCCCAGACTAACATATTTGGCCAGGGTCAATATCAGTTTGTTATGTCAAGATGAAATATTCCTCTTTCAGAACCAACTTTGATCACATAGTTGTTTGCTCTGTTGCTAGACAGTGTGAGTCCTTGGATGTATGTAGGCACAGTAGCACGCTGCAAATTTCTGGTGTGCTCTGAAAAATGGCTGTGCTGTGAGGTAAGCCAGCAGGACAGTCTTTGCAATTTAATAAGCTAAAGATCACTGATGCTCATACACTCCTGTTTGTTTTAGAACTGATTAAAATGTTTGGCCTGGAGACCATCCTCATCTACACGGCTCTGCTTCTCAAGAAGAGAATTGTAGTGTATCACCACAGCTTAGAAACCTTGCTTAAGGTTGGTTCTATATGATGGGGTACCCAAAAGAAACTGAACTAATTTTTTTGTGGGCAGATCTTTTGTAGTACCACGTTTTGCCGCTATGAGCGCATAGAGCTAACATTCCTGAGTCGATAAGCCGACTACTGTTGCTTCAGAAGGTAAGGACTAGTTTCGGCAGAGTTTATAGTAACAACTGTTTTGTGTGATCGTCGTTTTTGCAATGGCTGATTTTCGTGAACAGCTTGCGGCGGTGAAATTCTGCTTTTTGCTCCAGAAAAGTGGAACAGAAACTCTTGAAATGTTAAAAACGGCGTACAAGGACGATGCTATGGGGAAAACTCAAGTGTTTGAGTGGTTTTCCCGTTTCAAAAATGGTGAAATGTCAATTGATGACAAACTTCGTTCTGGTCGTCCTTCCGTGGCCTGAACACATGAAAATGTTGAAAAAATTCGTGAAATCATCAAGGAAGATCGACGACGGACCATTGAAGAAATTGTGGAGCTGTCGGGAGTGACTTGGAGCTCAGTTCAGCGAATTTTGACAGAAGATTTGGGAATGAAAAGGGTGGCTGCGAAATTTGTGGCACGACTGCTGACTGCTGAACAAAAACAAGGTCGTGTGGAAGCATGCTGTGCTTTGAAAGAAGAGTCCCGAAATGATCAAAACTTTTTTCAAAAATTATCACCGGTGATGAAACCTGGTGCTATGTTTACGATCCTGAATCAAAGCAACAATCAAGCCAGTGGAAGACTTCAAGTTCGCCTCACCCCAAGAAAGCTCATCAGGTGAAATCAAATATGAAAAAATGCTGATTTGTTTTTTCGATGTGAGAGGAGTCGTCCATTCAGAGTTTGTTCCGCAGGGTCAGACAGTTAACCAGGCTTTCTACTTGGAAGTTTTGAAAAGATTGCGCAACAGTTTGCGGCGGAAGCGGCCAGATGTGTGGCAGTCGGGTGACTGGTTTTTCCATCATGACAATGCCCCTGCTCAATTCTTGACCAAAAATGGTATGACTCCTGTTCCTCACCCTCCATACTCACCCGACCTTGCCCCCGTGCGACTTTTTTTTTGTTTCCTCGAATGAAAAGAGACATGAAAGGAAAGCGTTTTGCTGATGTTGCTGAGGTGAAGGAAAAAACGATGGAGGCGCTGTAAAGCATCTCAAAAGATGAATTTAGACAGTGTTTTGAAAAATGGAATAAAAGACTAGACAAGTGTATTAGTGTAAGTGGAGAGTACTTTGAAGGGGATTGAAGGTTTGTGCTTAAAATTTGAATAAATAAGTTTAAAAAAAATTAAGTTCAGTTTCTTTTGGGTACCCCCTCGTATGCAAGTGTGAGAATATGTGAGAGTATGTGAGAATAGGGCATTTAAATCTACAGGTACTTCAAGGGTTGTGGCTGGATTTTAACTGGGCGTAATACTTTATATGTGTCATGCGGTAGCGTAGGTGGTTGAGGCACTATGCTACAAGCCAGAAGGTCGCAGGTTCAAGTCTTGATGAGCTCATTGTTTTTTTTTTTAATTCACCTAATCCTTCTGGCTGCACTATGGCCCTGGGGTTGACTCACCCTCCAACAGAAATATTCTTGGAATATTCCTGGGGGCAGAGGGCGGCCGGTGTGTAAGGCTGACAACCTTGCTGCCATCTGTGAGCCGATTGTCTAGAAAATGTGGGAACCTCAATGTCTCACAACCCTATGGGCCTCCAAGTTCTGTTACAGGGATACCTTTACTTTTCTTTTACTTTTAATAGTTTATATTATCCAGTACAGGTGTTTAAATCTCTTGGTACTGTGCAGTTGGTGGCTTGATTTGTTGTTTGGGAACAGGTATGTTAAATCTCTCAGTGGTACTGGGTTGACAGCTGTATTTTATCTTCAGGGTAATTGTATTAATGTCAAAGAGATGCAACACACAGCCAGCTTGACAGTGAATGCACCAGTGTGCATCCAGTTGAGGTGAATGTGGTTTTGAAGGCTTATGACAGTGGTGCAGTATCTTCATGAAAGTAACAATGACTTGAGACTCATTACAGTATGGTTAGTTCAGCAATGATAGCTTTCCATCTGCAATGACTGGACACAAAGGATAGTAAATGGTGCAGAATTGTGCAGAATGAAATGTTTATAAAAGATATATATTCTGTTTCACTTCTTTGCAGTGGATGCCAACTTATCCAGCTCTAATGTGCCACCGAGAGGCAGCAGATATTCTGTATCCCTGGATAGACTTGGTGTCTGAGGAATTACTGGATCTGAAGGTGAGTCCACCCTCAACAGCAGGTCACAAAGTATTGAAATTTCCTTGTCCTGATCCGAGAATCTGAACTGGTTACATCACACATGCAAGTCTTGGGTTTTACTGCTCTTCTCTTTCCAGAGCAACATGAGTTACGTGGCTGGTTGTCGGGACAGTGGTGTAGGGGCCCGCACGGATTTGTATGATGTTCTGGTTAACCTCCCAGCCCGAGAGATCACAGTTGCCACTCATGCTAAAGGTAACAGCATTGTTGTTATTCTATCTGAATGTGAGGAAGCACAAATATTATGTTTTTGGACATTATCCATCCTGTCTTTATCTAAAAGCACCGTCCTGTTTATTTTTCAAAACGTTTCGGAGCACCTTCATCAGACAGTGACATAAATCATTACATTGTTATTAGAAAGCTACTATGTCATATTTTCAACACGTGGGGACCAAAATTGCCATACTGAACACACTTGTGCTATCAGGTTGCTTACTCAAGGTATGATGCACCCTCAGAGATGTTTTAGACAAAGTGTACTAAGTCGTAATTTGTAACACGTAAATTTGAACTGATTTGAAATTAAAATTCATTTTATGGTTTTCTGGGCTGTGACACTGTTATATATCCTGAAGATGGAGGCAGTAATTTCCTCCAAAATGTTGATACCCATCTATCAGGCTATGTAGTATCAAAACACAAAAATTCACAGTATGAATGTTCACCATCATAAGATAAATGTGATTCTGTTACTGTGCTTAATTAAGCACCATGCCATGAAGATGTATGTTGGAGGGGATTTATAGATCCGTGTATTTCTAACCTTGCTACTACATGGAGGTTAGTGGTCAGCTTGTACCCACTGGATGGGCCCCAAAGCCAGTCTGAACAGAGTGGAGAATCAAACACAAATTCATTAGATGGTGGGCCTGTAGCCTGTCATTATACTGACTGAGCTATCCTGGCATCATATCTTCACCACTGTGAAAACTTAAAATTTCAGAATTCAGACTGATTACATTACACTTGCCCCCTAGCACTTTTGCTTGGCATACTGTCCCCATTTTTATGTATTTTTAGTCAAAATTATATTCGTGCACCATATGACCAACTGAAATAATGTTTATCCTGTGAACAGTTTTTGAGGATAGTTCAGTCAGTATAGCGACTGGCTACTGGCTGGACTGGCCAAGAGGTCGGAGTTTAAGTCCTGGTAGGGGCAAGGATTTTCTCTTCTCCATGTCGTCCAGACTGGCCCTAGGACCAACCCTGCCTCTTATCCACTGGGTACCAGAGAATATTTCCCTGGGGGTAAAGTGGCTGGGACGTGAAGCTGACCACTCACTTCCAGCTAGTGCTGAGGTCAAGAAAATGTGGATCTGTACATCCATTACTCCATACACCTTCATGGTATAGTGCCTAATTAGTTGAGCACAGGAACAACTTTACTTTACTTACAACTTTGACTTGTATTTGGTAGGTGTGCAGTTTGAATCTTGGATAGGACACTGACCCTCCTGAGCTAGGTTTCTCATGGTTTTCCTCACACTCTCCAGGACAGTACCTTAAGAAGCAGATCACAATCACATCCTTTGTCATCATTGAGGCATTCAATGCTGTAGTCTGAATTACTGATAGTACCATTCATCACACATAAATACATAAAGTAAAGTAATGTGGACCTGGGGTGTCATGTGTTCAATGGTCTTCTCTCAATGTTTCAGTCTGGCATTGAAAAATGATGTTGTATTTCAGTATGTAACTGGGTTCAACAGTTTTCATTTGTAAAAACCATAAATTATGAATTGCAGAGTGTCATATATTAAAGTAAATGGACCAGGGAGGTTAAGACTAATACATCACATTTTCTGTAGAAAGCATGACGATGACAAAGACCCATAAGGACATAGCTGTGTTCATGGTGCAGCTGTCGGAGAACGAGAGTCTCTCGGAGCAGCAGGCGGTTCGAGAGATAGCAGACAAGACGAGGGAGCTTTTGAACCAGCTCAGGTTTGTGCTTAGATGTTGTAATACCATCACAAATGTGATGGATCTCGTTCATTTTACACTGGTGGCATTGGTTTGCTCATTGCCCACCCTTCTCAATATTACTGGCCATTTTGTCCCTTGCTTACCATTCTATCCAGAAGGTGGAAGCGGCATATTCCTCTGAAACTTTGGTGAATATGTACCAGACAGCATCACACCCTAGAAACAGTGATCATGACAGTCACTGCTGTGAGAACCTCAAATTTCACTTAATTTGAGATTGTATTGTCTTTGTCTGGGTATTAAATGAATTAAAGAACTCTGTAAGTTTACTCAGAAACATAAATGAAAGAGATCACTTGGGAGGTAGTTGGTGTAGTTGAGCGGAAGATATTAAAACGTATATTAACACATTTGCTATCAGTCTTGTCAGCTGATGGAGTTAAAGTTTACAGCCTGCCAGTGTTTATACCATAGTCTTACATGCAACACCATGTCCGACAAAACTTATTAACTTTAGAAGTTCACTACATGTTTCCGCAAATATGGCCATCATCAGGTGTCAAAATCTTTTTGATGAGGAAACTGCTGTCTTGTTGTTAATATACATGCCAGTCCCTATGATGTGCTTGTGTGTTGGAGTTAGTGTGCTATGTTGTGTGTCTTGTTTAGGAACAACCATATATATTTACAACAAGACAGCAGTTTCCTCATCAAAAAGATTTTAACACCTGATGATGGCCATATTGGCCGAAACATATAGTGAAATTTGAAAGTTAACAAGTTTTGTGTGACATGGTGTTGCATGTAACACTGTAAATAAGGGATGTTAAGTGAAAAGTGGAACAGGATGCTACAATATAATATTATACCATCAGGTAATATTCTGTTTTGACTGTATATATAAATGCCATTTTCTCAAACAGATGTAACTCAGATAAAAACAAACTTTTAAACATAGCCTGTCAAAGTTCGAAGGAGTTGATGGATATAGCAGTTCTCCTTGTGCTCTTCCAGTTTTGGGTTTTCTTCAATGGAGTAAGTTCAAAATCCAGTTCTTATCAAGATTGGTGGACCAGCCAATAAAATCTGAGTACAGGGGCAGTAGGTATAATAAAGAAATAGAGTGTAAGGGTGTAAACTGGTTTCAGCCAGCTGAGGATATGATATATATACTCAAGAACACTGTTACTTTAATGTCCAAAATATTTCAATTTCTGAACAAACTGTTTGGCTGTTGTGTCCACAGGTCCCTGGCCACAGTGTCCACACCTGATGGGAAGCATGTGGTGTCCATTGAGACATTGCGGGAAAGAAACCTGCCTCCGGCACTTGATAACTTCTTGTTCAATTTGGCTGTTGCAGAGAATATGATGATGCTGTAGATTCAAACAAAAGAAAACAGCATTTTGACTATGACTGCACATTACCAAAGTTAATAGCTATGAATTGTTATATGATATATGTGATTTCAGATTATTTTATACAACATTCCAGCAGGATCTTGTCTAAGCAGTTAGTAGTTATTCAGCTGTTATAAAGTCCATTGCTATAGAATCAGTCCTAATGAACCAGGAGGTTCGTTAGCATGATGACAAGTCACCAGCAAGACCCAGTGACGTTCATATCCCTTCAAGTTATTTTTGTAAAATCGTTTGTCATCTTATCCTCGAATGTTGTCAAAGTTGGTCTCCTTTAATGAGTTATATAATGACATGTAAAAATATGTCAGACATAGTAAAGGAACTATTTCTTTTTGGACATTATTCATTGTTAGATAGAGTTAGTTGCTTTCACTCCTTTATTTGCAGGTAAAGGTGGAGATAGGGGCAGTATTTGAAGTAGCACGTGTCTTTATTCACACAATGGACACTGTCTACATAAAATATACCCATAACAATTCTAGAACATGTGACACCTTTAGAACAAAACTTCAACCCTGAGGATGGACGAAGCAAGCTGTGCCACGGTGACAGTGACCACTACAGATTATCCTTACCCAGAAGACCAGAATTTAATTTTCGTCATAATGAAAACGTGCAGGAACAGATTCTAAGATCCTCTGTCTGCACTTTATGCTATTAATTCAAAATCTCCATCAACTGGAAACCAATTTTAGATTGTAGTCTTATGCAGTGAGACTCCATGTAGTCTCGTAAATGGATATAAGCATTTCGGAGGAACACTCTGCCTCTGTTTTGGGTCAAACTGAGCAGTCGAGAGGACCATGGTCTGAACATGAACTGCCACAGAAACCTGGAAACTTTTACAAAAGCCCCTGAAATAATCAGGTGGAATCAGTACATTTTCTGTTAAGCCTTTGAAATACGAGTATGAAGTCTATTTAAATATTCTGTACCTGTTTGGGAGAAAACATTTCATCTTAAAAACAGCATGTAATGCTGTCCAGTCAGAGAAGGTAAGGTGTTCAGGGAGAAATATGACTGTGAAAGGCATATCATAATTTATCACATATTTTGTACAGCAGTTTGTTGAAGGTTTCCTGATTAGAAAGTTAAGTCTGTGATTTATGCAAGGAGTTATGAAAACTAATCATGATTTCACAACCACACTCAACTATCACTGCCCCAGAAATGTGAGACATGCCTAATCAGCTAGTCCACTATAACTTTAATTGCGGCCGAGGTCTCTGTCAGACTCTGGCGCTGTACCAAAATTATAGATTTGTATCATTATGTATACAATCTACAACAGTATTACAAAAGTTCAGCAACAGAAGTAATTTTATATGTTACTCAAAAGTCTTTGATAATTATACGCGCTGTTTATTATAGTCTGTGCCTAATAGAGAAATAAATACAGGCTATGTTGGCTAGACTGATAATTGGACAACAGACAACAGGAGAGATTGCGATTTTTTTTTTTCCGTAGGTTGAAGCGGTTGAAGTGTAGGAAGGTGGTTGCAGAGTTGCAGAGGGTATAGTGGTGCTGAGGTTTGTTGTAACGGCAATAATTGTGTAACAGACGTGAGCGTAGTGACATGAATGTATTATCAGTTCTTGTGCCAACAGGTGGGGAATGTGAATAAGTTCTGAAAGATACAGTTGTTAGTACTTCCCGGAATAACTGATTTATCTAGTGTTACTTGTGTTGGGAGCCCTTTGTCGGAACAACATTAAAGCATGAATAATTCGCAGGCAAGTATATTGTTTTATAAACAGCAGGGCCTTGAGTTGATTACATATAGCCAAAATTACAGTAAGCCCTTGTTATAACGGATTTCGGATATCTTGAACAAAATCTGGCGTTGTATAATTGTGAATAATAAGAAGTCTTGAGGCACTTAAGAAGGTTTTTTAAGTGGTAAAATATTTTTTAAAAAGAAAACACCGTGAAAACATTTATGTAATCATATGCTATGTTTTTATGTTTTTTGTGTATATTGGCCATGTATCCTATGGTGTAGTTTTTCACATACCTCTTCATTCGTCTATAACGGACACCGAGCCCCCTCATTAGTCCGTTATTACGAGGGTTTACTATGAACAGGGCGAATGGCCATTAAGTCATAGATGAAGTGATTACATATATGAAAGCTGTGGCTTTAAATATTTCAATAGATATTAGTCTATTTGTGTTTCATTTGATAGCTTACATTCTTCAGGTTATGTAGTGTCACATTGTAGAATGACTAGTGAATTTGGAAAGATGTGGAAGGAAGCAGTCGTTTTCATAATTTGAGGTACATTCCCAGCATTTAGCTGGAAGGATGGAGGCAGGATAGCTTGTCAAAGGGCTGAGATTTGAAGCTGGAGTCTGCCGAACATGTAACAGTTCATTAATAATCGTCATTACTGCCCTATATAATTTTTTTTTTTAATTTTCAGCAAGTTCCGGCAAGTTCAGTTCAGGAATACTCAATTCGTGTTCCAAAGTAAGTTCTTGGTAATTGTTTTGGTACTTCAGAAACGGGTTTGTTGGTGTGTTGAATATTCATGGCATACAGCCTTAGCAGAACTGTATATATCTACTGTGATGGTTGGTGTAATGTTTCATCTAGCTGCATTTACTGTTAGGAACATTTTTTAGGCAATTAGTTTGTGAATCAAGTGTCTGCTGTTATTAAATTAGTTTTCAATTAATTTTTTTGTATGTAAGTTTTGAGGTTTTTACGGCGATGACTATGAAGAAAGTTGTCTTCTGGGATCTGGCGCCGTGTATTCTTTGTTTCAGCTGAAACAAAG